TGCCAGCGGGAGGAGGCGGGAGAAGGAGAAAGGGTATGAGGAGGAGGAGGAGGAGGAGGAGGAGGAGGAGGAGGAGAAAGGGTAGAGGAGGAGGAAGGGCAGAGGAGGAGGAAGGGTAGAGGAGGAGAAAGGGTAGAGGAGGAGGGGGAGGCAGGATAGAGGAGGAGGAGGAAGGTAGAGGAGGAGGAAGGGTAGAGGAGGGGAGGAGGCGGCAGGAGTACAGGTAGAGGAGAAGGAAAAGGAGGAGGAGGAGGAGGAGGAGGAGGAGAGGAGGAGGACAGAGGAGGAGGAGGAGGAGGAGGAGGAGGAGGAGGAGGAGGTAGAGGAGGAGGAGGAGGAAGGGTAGAGGAGGGGAGGAGGCGGGAGGAGGAGGACGGGTAGAGGATAAGGAGGAGGAGGAGGAGGAGGAGGAGGAGGAGGAGGAGCAGGCGGCAGGGGGGGGAGTCGCCGCGCACAGGCTGGACGAGCTCACGGAGACGGCCGGCCGGACGCGCCGGCCGTGTGCGAGTGCCGCGCGAGACCCACGAGCGCACGCGCCAGCTCGCACGGAGCGGGTGTCGGGTGCTGCTACTTGCGCCCCAGCCTGAAGTCATCTGTGCTTCCGAGTGGCAGTGGTGGCCCGCGGTGCGCGCGCAGCACGCCCCTCGGGGCCAGCCGGCGGAGCGGCTCGGCTCCACGCGCCTCCTCCTCCTCCTCCCCCTTCCTCTCATCCTTCGAGTCCTCCTCCTCGAGTCCTCCACTCCTCCTCCTCTCCTCCTCCCTCCTCCTCCTCCCTCCTCCTCCTCCTCCTCCTCCTCCTCCTCCTCCTCCCCCTCCCCCCTCCCCCTCCCCCTCCCCCTCCTCCTCCCCCGTGGAGAGCTGGGGTCACGGGGGGGGGCACCTCTGGCACCCGAGAGTGGCGTTTTCAGGTTCTTGTGTCGATGCGATCGATCCGGTGCAACGCCGATCTCGGCCAGCTCGGCCCGATCCCGTCTCCATCTTCGGACGATCCGATTCCGCCCGACTGCTTGTACGGCTCAGAAGTGCAGATCCCCTGGCGCAGCCGATCCGACCTCGATCCCGTGCCGATGCAGCCCGATCCGGTGCACGTCCGATCCGATCCAGATTTAGTGGTTTGACGCTGGTTGCTCCAGAGTCTGGGCGAGGGGGATGCGCCCCGATGGAAGCGGGCCCCAGACCCTGGGACTGGCTTTCCACACCGAGTAGTAGCCTCCTGACGGTCGCGGGGCACACGGGGCCGGAAACGGCAAACACATCCACGGCCCAGGAGCGGCGCACACACTTCCTCCTCCTCCTCCTCATCCTCCCCCTCCTCCGCAATCCTCCTCCTCCTCCTCCTCCTCCCCCTCCTCCTCCTCCTCCTCCTCCTCCTCCTCCTCCTCCTCCCTCCTCCCCCTCCTCCTCCTCCTCCTCCTCCTCCTCCTCCTCCTCCTCCTCCTCCTCCTGCTCCGCAATGCCGCCTCCTCCTCCTCCCTCCTCCCTCCTCCCTCCTCCTCCTTCACCTCCTCCTCCCTGCTCCCTCCTCCTCCTCCTCCTCCTCCTCCCCTGGCCAAGCCAGGAAGGGGCGTGTGCACCATGCCCGTCCTTGGCCAGCGGGTGCGCTCGGATCCCGTCGCCCCTGTCGGAGGTCGGGCCTGTCCCTCTAAAGGAAGAATATTCAAAGACAGTCAAAACATAGTTCGGGGACGCTGTTTTGACTATTGACTATTTGCGTGTGACCATCTCTTATTTTTCGTCCAAGGTCCCCCTGTAGGTGGAGAGGCCCGACCTCACCTTTTCCGCGATCCTGGGGCCGGGGGCCGCCTCTGCAGGCGCGTGCCGTCGCGAGCGCGCGGGGGCGACGAGTCCTCGGGGCACGCCGCGCCCCGGGTGGAAAGGCAGGGGGGTGACGGGAAACTGGCAAAAATCCGCCTGTCGGGGGACACGCCCGACCTGAAGCAACGCCCCAAGGGAGGAGGAGGAGGAGGAGGAGGAGGAGGAGGAGGAGGAGGACGAGGCAGGGGGCGCCCCAGATGGAAGGCAGGGGGCGACGGGAATCTGGCAAGAAATCCGCCTGTCGGGGGACACGCCCGACCCGAGGCAGCGCCCGAAGGGAGGAGGAGGAGGAGGGCCGATGGTTTCTGCACGTCTGCTCGTTGTTGGGGGGGGGGGCTCCAGGGCGGAGGTGCGCGCTACCGCGGCTGGGCACGGGTGCCCGTCTGGATGTGTGCGGAGCCGAGCCGAGCAGGGCTGGACCTAAGCGCAGTCTTTCTGGACTTCGGCTGTGTTTTTTTTTCGTTTTGGCAGGGAGGCACGGGAAAACAGGCAGAGCAAAACCGAACAAGCCATAACGAAGCCAGAAGGAAACGCAGCGTTTGTGTCCAGCCCTGGAGACTGATGCAGGGCTGGACCTAAACGCTGCTCTGCTGGACTTCGGCTGTGCTTGTTTGTTCGCTTTGGCAGGGAAGCACGGGAAAACAGGTAGAGCAAAACGAACAAGCCATAACGAAACCAGAAGGAAAAGCAGCGTTTGGGTCCAGCCCTGGAGACTGATCCTACAAGCCCACCGGGTCCTCCCAGGAGCACGTTCCTCGCGAGCCGGTCTGGGACGGCCCCGGGGCGCGTGGGGGACCATTTGGTCAGGGGCAACGATATGGGGGAGATAGGCGTTAGTCGGGGGCGGAAAAGAGGGGGGTGATGACTAGGGGGGGGGATATCATGGCGGGGGCCATGATATTTCCCCAGATTTCATGGCGCCTCTTCTTACTTCATTACGTTCCTGGCCCCCCCGCTGTGCCGCGCACATGCCGCCTATCGTTGCCCCTCAAGTGGGGGCCTTAGGCAGGGGAAGGGCGCAGGACCCCTTTACTCCAGGACCGGGCCACGCCGGGCGTGTGCCCTACAGCCAACGCGCATAGTAGTAAAGTCGCGCGCCGTTCCTAGGGTACCCCTGCGTCCTTGGCACTGCGGCCCGTCCTTTGCCGTTGTCAGCGGTCGCCCGTCGTCTCAAACCATCCCAACTGCGGCCGCCAGGGATCAGAGGGGAAAGAAACACACAGACACAAGTAATCGTCGACTCCCTGGAAAATATGGGAAAATATGAGAAGTGGGGGGAAGACAGAAACTCAGAAAATATGGAAGCATACAGGCATTCCTGCTATTTGTGTGCATTTATTTGTGTGCTTGTGGGCCCCTTCTTGGATAATCGGGTGGGTTAGCAAGTAGATAGCACAGTTATAAATTGATGTAAAGAGCTTACAAATTCATTATAATCAGGTTATAAAATGCACAAGCACGTTATAACCACCATAACCAAGATAACGTAGAAGCTAAACTTTACAGTGGTTATGTAAACGTGCGAACAACTTCGCTAAGTTATGAACGTAGTTAGGGTAATCAGTGCAAGTTGTTTAGGGTAGATATGCTGACGGATAGTATCCAGGATCTAACCAGATCGTATCTAGGATCCACCCCAAGCTAACCAGGTTGCTAACTAGGTTCGCTAAGTAGGTTCGCTGAGGTTCGCAAGTGGGTTACCAATGAGGGGGGGTATGAAATACTAGTGCACTTCCCTTGGATTTAAACCGAATCCGATATATTTCCGTTCAATATCTTGCGTGTGGCCCACGTTCCGCAGCAATTTGTTGCTGCGAGTGGTTCTTAGACCCTTCGCCAGCATGGCTGGCGAGTTGCTGGCCGCCCCGACTCCAGAGCCAGATTTCGGGCTTGAGCCCGCAATGTTGCAGAAGTTGAAGGAGATTGCCCCGACCATCAACAAGCAGGTTGATGATATGTTCGACGTTCATGTCAACAAGAAGCAGAAGAGGCTCAACAGGAAACCAAGCATGCACCCATACCCACGCATGCCAATCTACCCACGCCCATCTGATGATAGTGATGTTGGGTATACCCAACATCACTATCATCCGATGTTGCGGGTCGTGGTAGGGGGCGTCCGTGGGAATGGGTTCGGGCTTGATTTCCTGAGGGCGACCGTGGACCAAATAATGACACTCTTGGAGAATCATGGTCTCGCTTATAGAGAGCAGAACGTCGATATCGATAGATTTGCGCCGCACCCTCACAACAGAGATGGTCAGGGTCTGGACGCTCTCTGCTGCCATGAACTACTGTCCAAAATCCTGAGGGATGGGTTCTCGCACGCCTTGACTTCGGACGCCACTGCATTTGAGGTCAGCCCGATCCCTAGCGTCTTCGCGGCCCAGTTCGAGTTCCAGGGGGTTCTGGAGGCGAATTGCGATAACATGATTGCGCATGTCAAGAGGCGGGGTTGGCTTTCGAAGCGCGCCCCCACTCACAGTGGATCCCGCCCAGCTCTCGAACGATGTGTGTTGTTGGTGTGTGAGTAGCCTGCTTCGTTTTAGGGGTGGGCGAGGTGGCGCTGGGGGGGGGCAGCGTTTCGGCCGACCCACAGGCAGGATCTTCGCTTTCTTACGGTGGCTGGGTCTCACACGATTGGTTGCATCAGGGCTGCGAGCCACCAAGTGAAAGCATCCCAGGCGTTTTTGGCCCACGTATCTGCGGAGGACGGCACGATCGCCAAAGACAAGGTCCTGGCATCATGTCCGACGTTCGCTGATCCCTTGCAAAACGGCGTATCGTTCAGGATCATCCGCAGCGCAGTCGAACATTTTTGCCCCAGACTGCCCGCCATGATCGCAGATGCGATGAACAAGGTCCACGACACGTTCCAGGAAGTCACCCCCATCCAGACGCTGAAGAGCCTGTTCAGCAAGGCCCAGATGAACTTGCGGCAATTCGGGGACGCCAAGTGGGAGCTCGTCGCAGCGGACCTTGAACGGGACCGCCCAAGCATGACAGGCCATGGGATTCCAATGTGCGAGTTCCTCTCGAACTGGGCGGGCGGCGGCAAGGGCCAATTCTTGGACGAGTTGTTGGAATATTCGTGCTCTCTGAAGTTTCGCAGGTTCGTTGGTGGGTTTACGTGGAAGCTACTTGCGAACGTGAAGTTCTATTCTGGCCCAGCGTGCGTGTTGGCAATGGCGAAGGCAGCGCTAACAGCTCCAGAGTCCTTCCTGCAGAGGGGCGAGTCTCGCCTGTTCAACTCCGCCGACATCGACGCCATCAGCGCGTCCAAGAAGCACCAGTGCATAGAGGCGGTGGCGATGTTCACCACTGCCAAGGAGTTCCTGCAGCAGGTCGGCAGCCTCACGAAGGTTCAGAAGACCATGCTCATTGGCGACCTCGAGGTCAGGGCCGTCATGACGATCCATGGGAAGAAGAGCAGGAGCCGCAAAACGTATGAGTCGCTCCACGCCGTCGGCCAAGCGTTCTTGCATGACCTGTACGCGCTGGTCCCCAGCACGAGGACGTTGGAGCCGCCGTGGAAGCTCGAGGAGAAGAAGGACTGCAGCCCGAAAGTGTCTCAGCTGAGGGAGTTCACCGAGAAGGGCCTTGGCCTGGTCGAGGTCAAGAAGCTGGGCTTCACCGAGGGCGCCACCGTTGAGCTGAAGGACGGCCCTGCGATGATGATCAAGGGGAAGGTGCAGCGCTACTTGGTCGTGAAGCAGATGAAGGACTGCCACGCGGAGCTGGACCATGGCATCGAGGGCGAGGTGCTGCTGCAGGTCCCGTTCGGGAAGTTGGCGGACGAGTGGAAGGCCATGTTTTCGGATTGAGTTAACCCCGTACCCCTCTTGGAATATGTTCGGTGACCGCGTTGGCCCTCTTGGGCCGTCCTTGCAGAGTAAATCACTCATCATGTACCCCCCCTCCTCGCCAAGGCCTCATGGGGCCAGTTGGGAATCCTCTTCGGGTATCTTGGAAGATTGCCCCATAGGATTGCCGATGCGGCTCTCCCAGGGGAGGGGGGGGGGGACAGGGTAATGTGGTTACCATGTCGCCCCCTCCACGCCAACACAGCATAGATGAGTATGCGGAGGAGGGAAAGGTGAGGGGGAGAGGAGGAGGAGGAGGAGGAGAAGGAGGAGGAGGCGGAGGAGCAGGAGGAGGAGGTCCCTCCCCTCCCCCGATGGCGCCCGCCGCTGAAGGTGGTCGTCGACGACAAAGTGCACACCATCTCCATGGAGAAGATGGCAGACGCGCAGGAGCCCATGCGGGCCCCCGCGATACCCTGAGTATACCTATTCCTCCTTCTCCTCGTCCTCATCCTACTCCTCCTCCTACTCCGCCGCCGCCTCCTCCTCCTCCTCCCCCTCCTCCTCCTCCTCCTCCCTCTCCTCCTCCTCCTTATCCCCCACCTCGTCGCCACCGCCTCGTGGGGCCAGTGTGGAGCCATCGCGGAGGCCATAGTGGGCCACCCTGTATCCGCACCGCCGATGCCTCAGAGGAGGGAGGAGGAGGAGGAGCAGGAGGAGGAGGAAGCGGAGGAGGAGGGACAAGAGGACGATGAGGAGGAGGATGAGGACGAGGAGGATGAGGAAGAAGTAAACGATGATGATGATGAGGAGGAGGAGGTTGGTGTTCGACGTTGGAACTAGTCCGTCGCTCTTACACGCGTCGCCCGCCAGCCCACGCCGCCCCCAGGACAGCCATGACGTGGCGATCGAGTCTGCTCGCTCTGCGGTTCGGGCAGCCCTGTCGAAAGCGTGGGATGAGTTCTGGGACGCCAGCCTTGAGATTTCGTATCGGACAAAGCCGAAGGTGGTGGTTGAGAGTGTAAAATCATCAGAAGCATACGCCAAAGGTAAGCTGACATTGGTCCCACTGTCGTCCGACATCAAAGTAGGCGAGAAGATCCCCGCTGCTGCCCCCCCAGTTGACATGTCGGAGTTTCTGGTGAACTTTCCCAAAACCAAGGTGTACATAGTTCCCAGGCTGAACCTGCCCGAGAACCCCAATGACCCGAAGGCTGTACAGAAAGCGTTTGTTGTCCCGTATGCAGCCGTGCCCGCAGCGAGCGATTCGACAGAAGCCAACATGGAATGGACCACGGTGCTCACGCATGTGACTGTGGTGTGCGGTGCATCTAGCGGGTCCATTCCGATTCGCATTCCTGTGCTCCGCAATTCGAAGGCGATTCCGCAGGGCAAGCCGATTTTTCGCCCGCCCAACTCGTTCATGCCCGCCCTGCCAGACAAAAAGAATGAGACGACCTCTCACGAGGTCTCGGAGCCGCCTGCCAAGAAGGGCAGGACTTCGACTGGCAGTGGGGGCAAGCCTAAGGCCAAGTCCAAGGCCAAAGCGTAGGTATATGGTAAGTGCATGCGTTTCTCAACGCCGAGCGCCTTGCTCCGCTCTGCCCCGAGCTGCCAGGCCCGTGGACAGGAGTAGAACAGAGTAGGAAGAGGAGGATGGCGAGGAGCAAGAAGAAGAGGAGGACGATGAGCTAGAGGTCGAGACGGAGAAGGGGCAGCAACAATCTCGAAGGGACGGAGATTGTGCCCACGGCAGCTGCTTGCATCGCTCGGCAACGTGTGCTTGTTTGCTCCATCGGCCCCGCTGTCACGCGCAGCCTGTGCGAGACCCTGGAGGGCGCGTTCAGCGCGAGAGGGGTTGTTTCAATGCATGATCGCGCGACGCCGATCAGTCTCACGACGATGCCCGAAGCTGGAGAATTCACCGACCCAGCACGTATCACAGACACTGTGACAAATGACGGTGCTCGAGCAAAACACAGCGAGGACTGGAGGAAGGGAGCGGAGGAGGACTAGGAGGGCTGAGGCAGGGAGAGGGGGATGAGGAGGAAGATGAGAGGGACGCAAAAGGACATATAGGATCACAACGAAAGGCCAATCGCAAGCACGCTTAGGCAGCCTCAACCGTTCCCAACTAGGTTCAAGAGGATAATGATAGGGAGGATGAGGGCGACTACCGATAATGAGCAGAGCAAACACTAACCAGCAGCAGCCACATCATACCAATAAAGACCGTGTAAGACCGATCGGCCCCCAAACTGTGGTTGATGCTGAGTGCGTCGTCTTGTCACTGTTGGGTCTATTAGTCCCGTGGCTATATGCGTACGCGTGTATGTGTGGATGTAAACAGTCACGCAGTATGAGCCAATCACAAACATGCAGGCATCCGACAGTGAGCTGAAATCTAAATAAACATGGGGCCCCATGGTCCATGGTCCCAAGCGTCCCCGTAGCCGTTTTGGCACAAGCTGGCTCCCACGTTTCACACGGTCTCTGCCCTCGCGCTCCAGACATCCAGGCGGTCACATTCGTGGCCTGACATGCCTGTCTCGATCAAGCTGGGCTACGCCCAAATCAGCAATGCTGCTGGCGAGCCCAAGACGTGCAGCAGCTGGTATCCTCTCGTCCAGCAGATCGACGGGGTAAACTTTGTCCAGTGCGACAAGCTTGATACGCGTTTTGGGAAATTGGTGGAGCACGACTTCACGATGCTCGACCATATCATCCAGATCAGGAACATCAAGACCGAGGAGCTGATGTTCGTGGCCGACAGGGAGGAGGACGACCCGCTCGCTGACACGCACGCCGATCACGCCGACGCCTCTGGCGCAGCGTTCACTCCCCCCCTGAAGAAAGCTAAGAGGGTCTTGATCGACGACCTCCCGTCCACGATCGACATCACCATCAAGACAGACGCCGACGAGACCGTGTCCATCAAGGTGGTCCCAGCTGCCAACTCCAGGGCTAAACTCGTGGTGGAGCTGACGCGGGATGCAGTGGGCTTGCTCACTAAGCAGCCAAAGGAGGTGCTGGCCCCCAACTTCATTCCCGACATCGAGTGCGCCAACGTTGTCTGGCTCCCATGTCGCCACGCCCTCGTGACCCGCTACTTCGACGGGCAGAAGGGCAAGTGGGCGACGAAGAGCATGAAGTTGTCGAGGGGGGTAGACATCCAGGAGAGGGCCGCGCGGCTCGCGAACGTCCTTCAGACGTACTACGACGAGCACCACCACGAGCCACAGTAGTTGCATGAGTTTTGCACATCGGTCAGTGGCGCAGCAGTTGCACAACGATTTCACCGACGTGTGTGACATAGTTGCGCACTCGGCCACTGCATGGCACTAGCGCTTTGCCTGCCTCTGGGATGTCGACAACGCGGGTTGTAAGACGAGGCCGCCAGCGCATGAGGTGCTGTTTAACACCAAATGTGAGCTTGCGCACAGTGGACAACCCATCGACATCATCACATCACCATCCCAACATCATCAAAATCACTGCTACACATCATTACACACATTCTATACGTGAGCCACTGAACGTTGACATCTAGTGCGACAACGGCCGTGACACCAACGTGCGTGGCGAAATAGCGATATGCATCAAGTCACCCTCACGACTTGGTGCAATTGCATCAAGTCGCCATCACGAGTTGATGCAATTGCATCAAGTCGCCACCACGACTTGATGCAATTGCATCAAGTCGCCACCACGACTTGATGCAATTGCACCAAGTCGCCATCACGACCTGATGCATGAGTACAGTAAGCATGCGCTGCACGAGGTCGTGATGACGACTTGATGCAATTGCATCAGGTCGTGAGGGCGACTTGATGCAATTGCACCAAGTCGCCATCACGACTTGATGCAATTGCATCAAGTCGCCATCACGACTTGATGCATCCATGAGTTGTGGGGGCACCGCCCCCGCAGTCGTCCAGCTGACCCACTTGTGCATCCCCTGCGTCACCAGTGTCGGCGTCGTCAGCATCACTATCACCAGCACCATCACCCTCCTGACATCATCATCTCTCTCAAGTGTTGAGCGCACTAGAGGTGGTGAGCGCTGGTGTATGTTGTTGTTTTCGGACCATGCGTCGCCACCGTACCCTCGGCTGAGCATTCGGTTAACCCCGAGTTCGGTGTTCGGGGCCCAGGAGATCCCAAAAACTGAGTCGGGGGCGCGGTCTGCTGCCTTAGAGTTTCGGTGCCCTGGCTCGCGCATCGTTCCACCCAAGCCCGCAACACCCGAAAGCGGGGTTGGCTCGACTAGCTCACGATGCCCCCCTTATCATTAATATCATCCCCCTCCCCCATCCTCCGACCCCCTTCCGTTCCAGAACCATTTTGGCTCAAAGTGACTTGGACCGCCTGTGCCCACTCGCCCAGATCTGCCGTCGACAATGTCAGGGGCGACGGCCGCTGACCTAGTTGGGATCATTCGCAGCCGCGTCGCCTTCATCAACTCTCAACTGGCGGCTGGGGTAGACAGGGATGGGCTGTTGACGAGGCAGTCGCACGCGCTCATCGCAACGATCAGCTCGGTGCCCGATCTCACGGTGGAGCACGGCACTGCGATCTCTAATGAGATCACTGCTGGGCCGTGGTCGGCAGGGCAGAAGGCGGCCATGGTAGCAACTGTCGAAGAAGTGTTTGCGGGGGGCATCACTAGTGCTGGAGGCAGCCGCCCCCAGCAGCACTGCGATCATTTCCATGCTTACCTGACCCTCGACGACTGGCAGGTCATCCAGGACCAGTCGCTGTCGCGGGCTGCAAAGGTGGAGCGGCTGGCGATGCGAGCGTGGAGCATCGGCATCACTTGCCCAGCCGAGTCGGTCCAGAAGCGTGCAGCGGCCATCATGGCGATGAAGGGGGAGCCTGGACCAGTCGACAGCCGTCAGCTCAAGGTGATCGGCGATGACTTCCAAGCGGCCGTCAAACTGCTGGACTCCAGCCAACGGTGGCCATTCGGTCACATCAAGAGGTACTTGGCGTCTGCCGATATGCTGCCGCCCTCGGTCTTCCAGTTCGCCTACCAGGGCGTTTCGCCGACTTGGCCGTTTGACGACCATGAATGGGATCGCGCGGCCTACGACGCTACCATCAAGCGGGCCGTCAGCAGGAACACCCACAAGACCTTCAAGGAGACGCTGACCGCCATCACCCCCTACGTCCAGCAGAGGGCGGGAAGCTCCGCGGCCATGAGCCACGGGGGCCCGATGAGCTTCAGCACCTCCATGGGCGGCAACCCTATGGAGCAGATGGCCCAGCTCATGGGCGGCGCCATGATGAACGCAATGCAGTCGGCATTCGGGTGCATGCCTTTCGACGACCCTCGCATCATGCTGACCCCTCCTGGCGCTGGGGCGCAACAACGCAGCAACCCGTTGGTCGACTACGTGAGCCGCGAGGACAACCCGCGTGGCAAGCGGAGGTCCGCAGACTCACTGAGCGCAAGTACGCTTCCGATGCGCGGCAGCGGG